AAGTAGGCCTCAAGCAAAAACCAAACTAATTACACAAACGTTGAATCAAAAAATGACATTTAACAACTTTCCCTGTATATATTATTGCAATTCTTTCCTAATTTGTAACACTATAAAGCTACTATTTACAACTTCATTTCTGAAAATTTTCCAGTTTGTTGCACGCCATATGTGGTAAATAAGCCCTCCATATTGCAGCAACATTTCAGCTAGGTTAGTTACTGGTTACAAATTAGTACATATATATAAAAGAGAGGAAGCATGGTGGTTCAACTGTTTTGTTCATGTTCATGCAGGATCTATGCCTGGTTTTTCATTCTAGTAGATTAATATGGAAGTTCCTTAGCCTCCTCTATAACAATCATTTAGATATTGTAACAGTGAAATCAGTCTTTCCTAAGATATTTGTTCCTTTTGCTTTCTAACTGAAAAGCTTTTTTTTTGGGACTAGTCAATAGGATATGGAGAAACTATTGTACAAATAATTTGCTTGCTCTATCACTGGTTGCAGTTGACAGCTTTGAGATGTCTACCAACTTATATATCTTGTTCTTGGTTGCTTATCATGTTTTTGTGTTTGATAGTGGAAGAATCATGAATATTAAGGTTGTAAATGGTGGGTGATATGCTCCTGCGGTGTACAAGTTGAAGAAATGGAAGATAAATTGATGATCTCCATATCTATATATTTATGTTGGTAACTTATCTTTCTTCTCCTACTGTCTCAAAGTAAGTTCCTTCTTCTTTTTTTACTTCATCTGCAGATCAGATGAAAGTCAATGAAGTTCATTACTTTTATTTGTGATTTCCATAATATGTACTTGTTTCTTGTTTACACACTCGAGTACACAATGTTAACATTTGGTGGAGCAATGCAAAACATGTTCTTGAATAGTAAAAATTTCATCAAAATGTTGCAAATCTTAGTTGTGTATCATAAAACTGACTTACACATGAAATTCTATATCTGGATAAGAAACTTTTACATTTACTAGGACTCAATCTAGAGAGATTCTGCGTTTACTTGCTATTGCTTAACAAAATGAAAGGAAACTTCAAGCTAGTAATTAGAAATTAACAGAACCTCTATGCACCCTTATTGAGGATAGTGGTGTAACTTGACCTCACGGGTTTGTTACTGATTTGTTACAGCTTAGTTTAGCAGTCTTAGTTTAGCAGTTAGTTATTATTAGATGTAACTGAATTCTGTTATTATTGACAGGTGTAAGATTGTGATAGGATGTGAGTTTAGTAGTAGCAGTATATATGTATGTACATAGTGCATTGTACAAATCACTTCTTCTAATCAATGAAATCAGTTTACAGCTCACATCTTTTTCTCTCCAATTAGATCTTCAACTGTAGTTGTAGATTTCACATTTCGTGTTGTTGGATATCCACCAGATTACAAGTTCAGGAAGAAGTCTGGAAACAATGCTAATAGAATGGCAAATGTCAATGCTGTTGAGAATGATTCACTTGGCCAAACACCTCCTACATTCACACAGGAGCAATATGGTCAAATTCTCAGGCTATTGAACAAGGAGAATTCTGTGATCCCAGCAGTCAATCAAGCAGGTATGGATCACTCATTCTCTATTAGTAATAAGTTTAAACACTGGGTAGTAGATTCTGGCGCAACAAAGCATATAACAACATCACTAGATGATTTGTTTGACATCGTTGCATTAGAACAAAGTGATCAGAACCATGTACAATTGCCTGATGGAGGAACTGCATCAATAACACACACTGGTAGTTATAGATGGGACAATGGTGATGTGTTGGCTAATGTTTTAGTGGTTCCTGATTTCAAGTATAATCTGATTTCAGTTTCTCAGTTAACCAGGCATTTACACTGCTCAGTAAGATTTTTTCCTGAGTTTTGTGTATTTCAGGACCTGTTAACTGGGAAGGTCAAGGGGATTGGTAAGGAGACAGGAGGTTTATATTTTCTGTTGAATAAAGATGTTGGAGATGGAAGCAACATGAATGCAGCTAGTGCAAAGTTGATGCACATAAAGACCAATGATGATGAAGGCATGCTATGGCACAATAGACTTGGCCACCCATCCTCCACTACTTTGAAGAAATTAGTTTCCATTAATGATAGACATATTAATGATTGTGTTGTATGTCCATTAGCTAAGCAAACACGGTTGCCTTTTCCTGTGTCTACAACTAGAAGTAGTTCTGTATTTGAATTGATACATATTGATGTTTGGGGTCCACAAAGAATCAGCACTCATGCTGGTTTCAAGTATTTCCTCACTATTGTTGACGACTATTCTAGAACTACATGGTTGTATTTGCTTAGACTGAAATCTGATGTTATTGTTGTCTTGAAGTCTTTTTTCAAAATGGTTAAAACTCAGTTTGATCACAATGTGAAGAATGTTAGATCAGATAATGGGGGTGAGTTTTTTAACATAGAATGCAAAGACTTATTTGCCTCTTTAGGCATAGTTCACCAAAGCAGTTGTCCACACACTCCACAGCAAAATGGAGTGGTGGAAAGAAAACATAGGCATGTGTTGGAAGTAGCCAGAAGTATCATGTTTCAGGGTGGCATACCTATCAGGTTTTGGGGAGAATGTGTTGTAGCAGCTGTATACTTAATCAACAGGTTACCTACTCCTACATTGGAAGGTAAATCTCCTTATGAAGTCTTCTATCAAAGGAAACCTAAGCTGGATCATTTAAGAACTGTTGGATGTATGTGTTATGCTACCACACTAATTAGGAAAGACAAATTTTCTCCCAGATCTGTTGCTTGTGTTATGATGGGCTATTCTTTGACTCAGAAGGGGTATCTTCTTTATAATATTGCAGACAAGAAGTTCATGGTTAGTAGGGATGTGGTGTTTAAGGAGCATATGTTTCCTTTTAAGGAACTGCATGATGATACAATTCCCCTGTTCCCAGACATCACTCAGCCATTAGAATCAGAACAAGATCAAGTTTCTGCAGAGACTATTATTGATCATGTACCTGAAGTTTCTGATGTGTCCACAGTATTGAATGACACTGCAGATCCACTCAATGATATTGTTGGTATTCCTGAGAGTCAACCAACCACCAATATTACTAGGAGGTCCAGTAGAACTGTGATTACACCAGCCTGGCATCAAGACTATATCACTTCTGGAAAGCAGAAACCTCACTCATTGTCCAACTGTGTTTCGTATCAGCACATCTCTTCCACATACAGAGCCTGTTTAAGCAGATTTTCAGCTGTGTGTGAACCTAAATCTTATGAAGATGCCTTACATGATGAGAAGTGGATAGCAGCAATGCAGCAAGAATTGCAAGCCCTTGATGAAAATGGCACTTGGAATCTGGTTCCTTGGCCACAAGGGAAGCCTGTGATTGGTTGTAAGTGGATCTTCAAAATCAAATATAAGGCAGATGGTGAAGTGGAAAGGTACAAGGCTAGATTAGTAGCAAAAGGGTATAGCCAAACTGCTGGTATAGACTACCAAGAAACTTTTTCTCCAGTGGTAAAAATGGTGACAGTAAGGACTGTTATTGCACTGGCTGCTGCAGAGAATTGGTGTATATACCAAATGGATGTCTACAATGCCTTCCTGCAAGGAGATCTCACCGAAGATGTATTCATGGAACTACCTAAAGGTCTACAAGTTGCCACTGATCAACCTATGGTCTGTAAGCTTGTGAAATCCCTTTATGGGCTTAAACAAGCTTCAAGACAATGGAATTTTAAACTTACTGAGGCTTTATTGAAATCTGGATATAGTCAGAGTCATTTGGATTATTCATTATTCACTAAGAAGCAAGGGGTCAATTTGGTTATTATCTTAGTCTATGTTGATGACCTCCTTATTACTGGGAATGATGCTGCACTGATTCAGAACACCAAAGACATCTTGCATAAGTGGTTCAAGATCAAGGATTAAGGAGAATTGAAATTCTTCCTAGGCATAGAATTCAGCAGATCCAAAAGGGGTATCCTTATGAACCAAAGGAAATATGCATTGGAGCTCTTAGTTGAAGCAGGCATTACTGCAGGAAAGGCAGCGAATACTCCATTGGAGTGTAATATGAAACTCACTACAGCCTCTGAAGAAGATTGTGGTGAGGAGGAGTTGCATCCGGATGTTACTCAATATCAAAGAATGATTGGCAAGTTATTGTACTTAACCATCACCAGACCTGACATAGCTTACACAGTCCAGACTCTCAGTCAATTCCTCCAGAAACCAAAAGCTCTGGCAGGCTGCTATTAGAGTTCTTAGATATATCAAGACTCAACCAGGATTGGGCTTACTTATGTCCTCACAGAAGAAGATGAAACTGACTGGTTTTTGTGATGCAGACTGGGCAGCATGCCCAAATACCAGAAGATCAGTGACAGGTTATCTACTGAAGTTGGGAGATTCTCTCATCTCTTGGAAATCAAAGAAACAGGCTACAGTATCAAGAAGTTCTGCTGAAGCAGAATATAGAAGCTTGGCTTGTCTAACAGCAGAAATTGTTTGGATGACAAACTTGTTCAAAGAATTGAATATTCAGATTGAGGAACCAGTTTCTGTGTTCTGTGATAGTAAGGCAGCACTTCAAATTGCAGCAAATCCTGTGTTTCATGAGAGGACGAAACACATAGAGATTGATTGTCACTTTATTAGGGAGAAGATTCAACAAGGGTTGATTAGTACTATGTATATCCCTACACAACACCAACAAGCAGACATTTTAACCAAAGCTTTGGGAAGACTGCAACATGAATCACTTTTATCCAAACTTGGTGTTCTAAATGTATTCACTACACCTAGTTTGAGGAGGAGTATTGAGGATAGTGGTGTAACTTGACCTCACGGGTTTGTTACTGATTTGTTACAGCTTAGTTTAGCAGTCTTAGTTTAGCAGTTAGTTATTATTAGATGTAACTGAATTCTGTTATTATTGACAGGTGTAAGATTGTGATAGGATGTGAGTTTAGTAGTAGCAGTATATATGTATGTACATTTTGTCAACCCTTACTTACTTATTACATCTAAAAGCTATTGTATGTCCTTGTATCAAACTATGAGCAGTTAAAACTAATCTGAAGTCTTCATCCTCAGAGAAGAACTGCTGCTGCATAAACAAGCTGGCTCCAATTGTTAAGAAGTCCAGGAGTACTGCGCCAATGATTGCTATGTTCACTTGATTGCTGGCTGTTTTGAGCTGAAGGTCTTCACATACGTCCACAAATGTACAGTTAATTTCACTTTGTAAGTGGAAAGGAAGAAGATTAAAAGGAGAATATTATATGAGGTTTTTCATCCTCACATAATTAGTGATGCATAAAGAAGCTGGTTCCATGTATCAGGTAGTCCAGGGAGACACCAGTGGCTGCAATCTACACCAGGGTGATCACCGCTGTACATTGATGGATGAGCATCTTTCCTTAACTGGGATAGAAACGTGATATCGAGGAGATGAACTGGTGTCTTCATCCTATTTAGTACTTTGTTTACTACAATAGCTGATGCTGGTGTCCCTGCTGGATATGTCGATCCTGCTAATGGTATTTGCTCTGAGTTGCAATTCTTTGTTGATGCCCCCCATTCCTGACCCCTGATCATGATACAACAGAACATGAATTTTGAGCTTGGAAAATAATTATATTCAGTGAAAGTTAGTGCAGTTAGTTATACACGCACGTTGGTTGCTACTTTCTCTAGGTTACCAACTATGTTGCTCAAACTCGTCAAAAGAATTGTTGTGTGTATTGAATCGTCTAAAAGCTATGTGTTTCTTTTGGATCCGACACTTTTCAAGGGTCCGAGAAACCATAGGTTATACCATTACATACTTTTGAGTTAGTTGATCATGTGAGTTATTTTTAAACTATCGGTATATAGAACTTAAATTCAAGCATTTATTTAGCAAATGAAGAAGTGCAGCACTTACATATAATGAGTTGGAGAAATGCCCTGGAAGAAGACTTTGGTCTTAGAGGAGTCAACATTTCCATCAACCCATCTTGCCCAAGTAGTTAGACCTTTGTAAAATGCCATTAAACGGTCCATATCTTTCGATACTTTCATACCATCTTGCACATAATCCCATCTACAAAAAAATATGATTCAGTTACTATAGTTTTTTCCACACATGTTGACAATACAATTAAACTAACAAAAGTGTACTCTTTCTAATAGTTTAAGCTTTTAAATTAAATAATCACATACTTTAACATAGTATTAGAGAATCAGACCCACACATGATGAATATACAATTAAATATTAAAAGTGTGCTCAAAAAAGGGATCATACGGTTGAGAGTTGCCCTTGTGAGTCCACCAATGCCAAGAATTGAAAATTAACATATCCATTCCTTTCCAAGCATCACCTTGTTGAATGGCATCCAATTTCAATACCCTTCCAATCTTCTCTCTTACTATATCCACAAGGTAAGTTGTTCGATAAAGGAATAAAGTAACTCCATAATCCTGCAGGAAAAAAAGTGACAAAGTGTATCAAAAACTATAGCGGAACACCCTTATTTTTATTCTATAAATATGAGTAACAAGTTGGCAACAAAATTGTCAGAAGCTTTTATAGCAAAGATATGATTTTTATTGTTAGGTTTGAGCCTCTTTTAGAAGATGTGGCTAAGACCAAAGGTGAATAACTTATGCTCTGACAACCAAAAAAAAATTGCAATAAAACTGGCCTTCAAAGATTGGACCTACCAATGATTATGACAATGTTTTGGCCAAGTAACACCACTAGATAATTATTTTTGGGAAAGTGCTAAATGGCCAAAAAATTTAAAAAATTATAATATTTTTTTTATTTTAAAATAAACTAATCTTTTTTCCATTTCTTAGTTAAAAGATATTAAAGTTAAAAGGGTAAAAATGTTTTAAAGTAAAATAACATAGATAAAAATATCATTCTGGCCAGAAAGATTTTTTCATTATTATTTTTCTCTTGTACAACCATTTTTTGCTGCCCTTATGGTTTCTTGTAAATGCAACAACTACAACTAGATAATAAATATGAAGATTGAGTAGGTCGACATAGAAAACTAGACCTCTTGAACATTTTGAAGGGTCGATAACAAAAGCAAATTCAAGATATGAAGTTTATCAATTCTAATTTTGATGATTGCTCGCTTGCCATCAACACATATACAAGATCTAAGCTAAATTACGAGGAAAGATCAGATTGGTGAACATGGAAAAGAGCTAAGCATGCCTTTCACTAGTTCACGGGTATACTGCTATTAAAGATGTGACAAATAAAATTCCTTTTCGTCTCCTTTCCAAGTTTTTTATTGGGAGCCTAAAAAGTCAACTTTTTTTTCTTTGTGGTCTTTGGCTACCACAATTCTCAAATTTTTTTTCCATATCTTATTTGTAGTATTATATTAATGATTGATGTCACATTGTTTTTTTAATCTTTTCTATCCACTGTTCTACATCTTATTTGGATCTTGGTTGTCCCCTCCTTCAATATTTGTCAAACAAAAGCTATAAAATTGGAGAAAACAATTTTTCTCCTTAACAACTCTATTGTCTGTAATATATGTATCTTGTACTAATTGCAGCCTCATATTGTAAAACAAAAAAGAAGAAGTGAGAAACCAAGGTAGACCATGTGAAAACACACACATATTTGTGTATGCATGTGTTTTTGCTTTGTGACAACGCTAAAATTATGGAGTATATTAAAACGTATACTGTTTTTTATGTTATCAATAGAATTTAATTTATTCTAGCAAGTTAATTTCCATTTTCATAAAGCTACAAATCAATATCATTATCGAGGTTATCATTCATACTGGTTGCGAACAACTAAACATATCAAGGATCTATCGAAAACACCTCTTTATTCCATACAAAATAGATATAAGGTCTGAGTACACCTTATTCTTTCCAAAACTTACTTGTGAGATCTTATTGATATGTTATTTTGTGAATTATGAAAATTTTCATACTCAGAAAGGCTATTGCTTTTTAGTTTAACTATTTGATATTAATTTTATTTTTTATTTTTAAAACTTATAACTCGGACTTCGTAATTAAGAATGAACCCACCTACTATTTACTGTCGCCGTATAGCTAGACTCTTTTTTCACCGATTTCATCATTTTCGCAACAACCAACATCATGATCCACTACAATTATAGTAATAACGTAACGTATATGTTGTTTTAACAGTTGAATTCAACATCATCAAATGATTACAAAAATCATTCTTTTGTCATAAAATACTTCAATTAAAGATTTTTCACACTCGATCAAAAACAGTTTAAAATAGTATAAAGATTGTTCTTTTTTTTCCTTTTCCTTCTCTCACTAGAGTTTCTACCTAAACAATTATGAATTAACAGAGACTTTCTTCTCTCATTTTTCCATTCAATTCCCTGCTGAGAATTTACTCAAGTTCTTCTAATTCTCATCTCTTCTTCCACAAAGTTCCCATTTTAACTGTCGCCTAATGTTATCCATTTTGATTTTGAGATAATTTTTTTAAAACTAAAACTAAAACTAGGAGAGAGCAAAACCTGAAATGGGAAATCAAAGAAAACCAAAAACACATAGTAAAAGAAGAGAGCAAATTAAACCTGAAAAGTGACAGAAGAAAGTGTCTCCTTCCTAGAAATTGTAATCTTGGCATTAGGCACCGACGCATGAAGCATACAGGCTAGAGAATTCCACATGTTCAAACTCAACGAGTCACCAATAAACATTATTTTTTTCCCTGACCATCTCTGCAAGAAATCCTTCCCATTAAACCTGTAAATTTTTAAAAAAATCTATTAGTAAATCATTACACCATAACTAATTGAGATGAAAATTTATCATAAATTGACTAGTTTTACGCTGTCAATCTATTACAACTCCCCTAGTAATACAAACAAGAGGAGTTGTACTAGACAATATTAAAACAGAGGAAAGACTTCTCTGTTTCTTCAAAATGTGTTGCGTAAGTCAACAACAACAACATAATCAGTGTAATCTCACAAGTAGGGTTTGTGTCAGATGATGTGCGTACACAACCTTACCTTTTATCTTGTAAGTCTATATTGCAAAAATAAAAAGTTAAGAAAAAAAAGATTGGAAGAAGGAGCATTAAAGAGTACCTGGGCAAGTTACAAGAATCAGGTTTCCAAGCATATTTGAGGTATTGCTTATCAGGGCGACCATATTTGAGGCAATCAAATTCAGGGTCAATGAAAGGGCAAGTTGAGGAATCATAAAGAGGAAAAGAAGGGTCAATTGCCCATCTACCTTGAAACAAGTTGCACTTGCTATTGCTTACAACCCCTTTGTTTTCCCAACTATGGCCACTCAAATTTTGTACTATAAGCTCTGCTCTGCCAGTATGTAAGAAGAGAGAAATAATGCTACAAACTAAAAGCACTGATTTAATGACCAATTGGCTCCACAGAACCATCTTTGGCTTTTGGTGTGGAAATAATTGAGGGAACTACTAATGAGGAACTTGTCTTCAAGCTTAATACATTGTCTGCTATATATATAATACAAAACCACAACATACATCAAAATCAATTTTCTTTTTTTTCTTAGGGGGTGGGGGTGGAAGGTTCAAGGAGAAGTGGTATCTGGAGATTCCTTGTTAAAAGGATCACATGATGAACGCAAAAAAGAAATAGTGATGTCCACATTTCTGACCGTCTTAAAAACACTAATCTATTTGTCTAATTAAATTAGATACGCTCTAATCTGTCACATGACATATCAAATGGTCTCAAACTCTTGTAAGAGCACGGAGTTCTTAATAAAAAATCAAGAAAAGTGTTGAAAATACTCTAAACTTGGCAAGAATTTAGGAGTATATTTCTTTCATATTGCAAGATTGAAGTGTATTTAAGTTCAGTTAATCAAGTAGAAAATATTTTTAAGACTAACCATTCAAAAATGAAACTAATAATTTACATTAAATTTAAAATTATTTTCAATACTTTTAATTTTTTTTTAAAATCAAAGTCTTCGGGTAGAAACAGTGGGGGCATTATGTTTTGGCTCTTAGCAGTTATATTTATTTTTCTCTTGGTATATACGGAGTAATTCCGTCGGCACAATTAATTAACAGACTTGTTTTTTTATTTAATAGACATTAATAACTGTGGTGAATACTGGAGATCCCCTGCCTTTAATTAAACCACATTTAGACATATAATTTATTTCTTTATTTTTGTAATTATTTTTTACTTTATTTGAAAATCAATATTTGACTATGAAAATTCAATATTCAGCTTATTTATTTTTTATATTTTTTTTAATTATTAGTTGATCACAATCTTTTAATATATATTTATTTTTTTACAAAAATCTAATGGTTTGACCCAAAAAGTACAACCCACCAGCACTAAAAAAATAATAATTAAAAAACCACCAAAAGAGAATTAAACTAAAATAGAAAAAAACAAAAACAAGAAAAGGAAAGTGGAATAACTGTTTGCAGCTCAACTTCCTCGATGGAACATCTCATTTTTCTACCCAAAGGAAGCTAAACTCGATTAAGCGTGAGTATTCTCCAACTTTGATACATCCTAGTATTCTGCCTCTTACATTTCGTTTAAAAGTCATCTCGATTTATCCATAATAAATTATTTCAATTCTTTTGCTCAACTGTCTACTCATAGATTCCAACCTCGTGTAGGTTATGTAGAGATAGTATTGTTGTTAATCCATCAATTTAACCTCAAATTCGTTGAAATTAGTTCTTTTAGATCTAAACTTTGAAAAAACAAGTCATAATTTGTTTTGCTAATTTCATCTTCATAATTTAAAATAAATTCTCTCTTCCCTCTTTTGCGAAAAGTATAATTAAATACAACTTCATCTTCAATTTATATTCCTTAAATTTTTAAATAAAATAAAAAATATTAGAAATCTTGATCAAACGCCCCGCCTAAAATTTACAAATTAGAATTCTTGGAAATTAGATTTTTTTCCGAATAAAGAGAGCATTTTACTCTTTATAGTAAATATGTATATTCTGATTAATCGGATCGATATATCTAGAGTGTCTAATGCTTAAAGAAAGAAATGTGGTAATATCAACTTCTTTTTATTTCTCGCTCGAGTCCAATATTTATATTTGAAGCCCGATTATATTCAGTTTTCGCACCAACAAAAATCCCACATTGAGGTAATATCAGTTTTTGATTGGTTTTACTTGCACGTAGTTTACAATTAGTAATAAAAACACCTAATTCAGCAGCATTTACTACAGAAGTTCGAACTCGTGGTACTGAATTGTCCTGTAGGAATAATAAATATTTGAATTAAATAAAGTTACTGCTAATAGTTAGTTTACTTTTAAAAGATAAAACCATGATTACATAAATTATTTATGAAAAAAATAGAAGTCTTCTCATTTAAGATTACTTTATTTAATTATCAAAAAGCAAAATGGGGTAATCATTTTGGAATATTATGAGTTTAGTGTTGTTGGTATATTTAGAAGCAGAGATTCTAATTTAGTGGAATTGCTTAGTCGGATTATTCCCTCATCAAAAAAGGAAAAAATAGAAAAGCAAAAAGTTACTTTATTCTTTTATGCTCTATTGATAGTTTGAGACTGAAATATAGCAAGTCCACATTCTTAATTAATTAGATTCATTTAATTTTGTTATTTTATTTTTTAATTTGGGGTGGCATTAAATGAATTTTAAAAATTTATTAATTTGGGGGCACAAGGGGGCTAGTTCTAGCAAGTTTACAGCCTATTATAGGTTGCCTATTGGCTATTGCTATCAATATATTGTGTGGGGTGTTGGTTGTTTTGTAGGATAACTTCAATTATTTTCTGGATTAAATGCAACTATTTTATTTTTAAAGATAACGGCTGAAAAACAAAAAAATTGTTGGGAGGGAAATTCTTGAATGAGTTAGCGTAATTCAGATTTAATTGAAATTTCAAAATTTGAATATTGAGTGAATTTTTTTTTTTAAAAAGTAGATATTCATCTGATCGTCTTTACTTGTGAGCGTAGTTCATCTTACAAAATCGAAAGCTAATCTATTACTTTGTAACTATTTTTTTTCTTATTATTAAATACTATTTATTTTTAATATTTAAATGATTCATAATTACGGAAGGTGATGCACTAAATTTATTTTCAATATTTAAATGATTCATAATAAAATTATTTTATGTATAAGGTTACATAAATTACCTAGCTAGAATTGTTATTTTCAAATTTATTCATCATAATTTGCTTTACTCTAAATATTTAATATTTGTATAATTAAATCTCAACAAGCTAAATAGAGCAATCAGGTTGAGGCCGTGTGTTGTATATAACAGTGATTAGGGGTGGAGTTAGAGTATGATTTTTTTTTTATCAAATTCAATAGTTTTGATTTTAATCCTATATATATCTTCAAAAAGTTCGCTGTATATGTTTAATTTATCAATTTAGAACTCAATTACTTTTTTTATATATATAAAATAAATTAGAATTAAAGTTCTTAATCAACTGAGCTATTAAGACCTCCAAACTACATCTTTCAATATTTTATTACTCTTATAATTTATTTATCAAACGAAAAAGAAAACCTTAAGCGAAAAAAATACGGCAAGATGCATTAAATGAAATAAAAAACCCTAAAACAGAAAAAATAAAATAATGGAAATTTCTAGTCAATGACTATCTTTTTGGTACCAGCAATCAAAAATAGGTAACCAAAGTGGCAGACTTTTCTTGATCATTATGTATCTACTTCTACTATAACACTAGCCTGTGTTACATTTATGTGGTCCTACCCCTATATTATATTGTGTTGATATTTACATTACAAGATAAGTATTTTGACCTATACTTCATCCAACATTTAAGATGATTAAAATAATTTAATAGTAAACACTTTAGATGAAGCTTCTCTTTCAATCTGCAATGTGATGTGATTCAACCTTAATTAAGTTAAATTATAAGTGGGTACGATTTACTATAAGTAAACTAAATATATTTAATTTTCCATATAAGTTAAAGTAGAAATTAAGTTGTTATCAATATTACAATTGATGTAAATATTGAAACGGATTGACGTAACTAATTAGCTATGAGTTCATCTAAACTCAATAATATCAACGCCAACAACTTTTTAGGAGTCAGATAGGGTTGGAACCCTATACAAGGGGCTGCTCGCTGCTCGCCCCTATCTCTAAAGTGTATGCACTCCACTTGTTATCACTAATTAAACAATGAAGCCAGGAGCGGAAGGAGGGACTTGAACCCTCAACCTCAGCCTTGGCAAGGCTATGCTCATCGTGGGCCTCGTAGTACCCACATACGACAGCTCTGTGGAGCTTTTCGGACCGAAAACTTGTTCGATATATATATATATAAAAAGGTTACCTTTAATATTTGATGAGATTCTTATCCCAAAAAAGAGCTTGTTATTGGAGTGACTGACTCATCAATCCTCTAGAAAAGGACCATATGCTTCAGTGATTCCTAAAAGAAAAATGTTAACTTTAGGATAGTTGCCGAAGCATCTTTGTTGGCGATTGTTGAAAGTGGCCAACGAATAATGTATATCTTATAATCCATGCAAATTTATCCTCAATTATTAAAATGAGAAAAGAATGCCATGTAATTTAACATACGAATAATGTATATCTTATAATCCATGCAAATTTATCCTCAATTAATAAAATGAGAAAAGAATGCCATGTAATTTAACATTTCGTAACACATTAACCAACTATGACACTTGAGGGGAAGAAAATTAATTATTGAGTTAAGATGGCAATTGATTAATAAAGCAAACGTGTATTTGATATCTTCTTTTGTTTTACAATTAATACATGTTTGTGTCCTAGTGGGCTTGTACTTACACGTGCAACCATTTGTTAATGAACTTTTGGCTAACAATTTCACCAAGTACATATTGATAATAAAATGCAATATTGACAACCATAAAAAATATCGTTGACAAGTTTTTGTTTTTAAGCATAGAAAATTAGTTTATAGCTAAACCAAGGTCTCTCTTAAAGTCCAATTATTGTATTACTATTAGTTATCAAGATTAAAAAAAAAAATAGAACACATGTAGTCAAATGCTAACATAAGATCGAGTAATAAGTACTAATACAATAGTGGATAATAGAAGATGAAGAACAATAGCATATCTATGGTAATTTTACAAGTAAAGCTCGAAGTGGATGAAATATAGGTAGATTTTTGTTCTGAACCAAGCTAGCTCTATAAGGGTCTATGAGTTAAAAGTGGTGAATGAGATTGGACCTAGTAAAATATTGGAATATTTATTGTATAAATTATAGGAACCACATATTATAAGTACTAAATAACATCCTATCCCTTCTAGTTTTCTATTTACCAAAAATCCCTTAAAAATGATGTTTGTGAGATACATAGCGTTGTGCACGGGATACATTAGGTTTGATACATTCCACATAGCGGGATACATAGCGTTGTGCACGGGATACATTAGGTTTGATACATTCCACATAGCGGGATACATAGCGTTGTGCACGGGATACATGCGGGACATAATGTTGTGGACATGATACATAGCGTTGTGCACGGGATACATAACATTTGATACATTCCACATAGCGGGATACATAGCGTTGTACACGGGA